ATGCAGATAAATTATTTTTAGGAGTATTATTCATTTCTTTCATGAGCCCTGAAGCCATGTAAGCAAGAGAGGATGGGATTATTTTGGGGGAAGTAAAAATGAGAGACAAATGAAAAGTCACCCATTCTCACCTCTAAGTGCAATGTTTTGATTATGATTCTTAAAATTATCTGCTTAATTTTTGGGAGAAAAACTTACACATCTCTGGCATGACTGTGTGTGCGCTGATAATTAACAAGTCCATGGCACAGAAAAAAAGGATGTATTTTATACCTTATTTTTGGAACTGTAAAATCTGAGGGAAGCTTGGAGATTTTCACCATTTGTGGCCTGTTAGGAAATTTTTCAAATATACGTAGACGCAAGGGTAGCTTTTCCTTAGTATCTGCATTGGCTTCGCTTTGTTTTAGCTTAAAGAAAAAGAAAAGAAAAATAAATAGACAAAATGTACTCAACAGTTCCGTTTTTCAGAATTCAAAGAATACGAACAGCAATCAGTTGAAGAGACAGAAGATGGCAGCAAAGAACTACAGAGGGTAAATTTGTTGCTCAGAGTTCACTAGTCTGCTTGTGTTAGAGGAACTGACAGATAAACCATAACAATCCATAAAATGAGAGGCATTTTTAATAATTTTAGTTTTAAAATGTGAAGCATATTAGCTTTCTATTATGTATATTTACTTCTGTATTTTCTTCACAGTTTCCCAACACTTCGAAAAGAAATATTCATGTTTTGTCTTTTGTGACTCAGCTTTCTGTGCACGTTGATAACTTTGGGATATTCAAATAGAGCATAATGTAGATAAATGAACTGAGGATTAAAATCTTTAGAGAAATCTCAGATCATTAATGAAATAGGAAAATCACATATAGATGGATTTATTAAGATCTGCTATACTTTATCTAATGATATCTCAAAACAGATATAGAGATATAGAATAGAGATATAACTATTGTATTCTGATTATTATAACTGTATAATGGCAACAAAATGATAAGTCAGAAAAGATGACTACACTCATCAAAGTTTTTATGACGAATAAATTAATATTAAAACTATTATTTCTGTCTAACTGAATATAATATACTAAGGATTGGAAATCTAACAGACACATCTAATTGTGGTCTTTTGTATAATAGTGTTATCTATGCAACATTTTGAACATACTGTAGTGAGCCTTGTATCCCAGATGTACATATTATGGATATCAGGGCTTGTGCTAGCACTTTAAGAATAGTTGTATAGGTAGCACTTTGAAGTTGTGGTTTGCACTGGGGCTCTGAAATCCACCCCTCCACTGTTGAGCCAGGGCAGGAAGCTCACTCCTGCTAGTTACAAAATGCTGTGTAAACATGCCCTCAGAGTCACTCCTCCTTTAATATAAAATAATATATGGAGATATACAATCTCCTAGAACTGGAAGGAACTTTGAAGCGTCATCAAATCCAGGTCCCTACCCTCACAGCAGGACCAAGTACCAACCCTGACAGATTTTCCCCAGGCCCCTAAATAGCCCCCTCAAGGATTGATTCACAACCCTGGGGTCCACAAGCCAATGCTCAAACCACTGAGCTATCCATCTCCCCTTTATCTAGCATGGCCTGATATGGACATTTGATTTTATTACAGTTATGAAAGGCGTGTGACAAGAATGCTGTATATGTCACAGATTTAGATTTTAGTGAAGGATTTAGTACAGCACAGTCTCTGGTGGAAGCTTTTTCTGATATTAATTCAAATTAGCTTTGATGTGAATTGTCACGTGGACTAAAAACTGAAGAAAAATAAACACAAGGTAATGAAAAATGACAGAGTTGGGGGAGAAGGTGTCTAGCGGAGCACTGCTGAGATCAGCTTTATGTCCATTCTTTTTCAATATCTTTATTAATCTGCCTCAAAAGGGAGAACTCATGTTGCTCATTAAAATGGGAGGAGCTGAAAATACCAGCGAGGACCAGAAAATAAAATTAAAGGATCTATCCCTGGTCTACACTAGAGAGTTATTTTGAAATAACAAACAGACCTTCTACACTACCAAGCCCGTTATTTCGAAATATGGAGCTCATTATTCCAGAATAATTCCTACTTTCATTGGGGAATAAGCCTATTTTGAAATAGTTATTTTGTGTGTTATTATTTCAAAATAAGGTATTTTGAAATAATTTCCCAGTGTAGACATGCCCCTAGAGATATTAGAAATATGAACAGACCATAACAAATGGAGATTAAATTTGTAAAATGCAAGTTAATAATCCAAGGGGAAAATAAACTACAATATATTCACTGAGAGAAGACACTGGGGGGACAGTAATGCTGAGAGATACCTAGAGTGTCGGTAAGAATAGACAAAATACAGGACTATGTAGCACTTTAAAGACTAACAAGATGGTTTATTAGATGATGAGCTTTCGTGGGCCAGACCCACTTCCTCAGATCAAATAGTGGAAGAAAATAGTCACAACCATATATACCAAAGGATACAATTAAAAAAATGAACACATATGAAAAGGACAAATCACATTTCAGAACAGAAGGGGGATGCGGGGGGGAGGGGAGGTGAATACCTGTGAGTTAATGATATTAGAGGTGGAGGCCATGCTAGATAAAGGGGGGATGGATAGCTCAGTGGTTTGAGCATTGGCCTGTGACCCCCCAGGGTTGTGAACTCAATCCTTGAGGGGGCTATTTAGGGACCTGGGGAAAATCTGTCAGGTTTGGTACTTGGTCCTGCTGTGAGGGTAGGGACCTGGATTTGATGACCCTTCAAGGTTCCTTCCAGTTCTAGGAGATTGTATATCTCCATGTATTATTTTATATTAAAGGAGTGGTGACTCTGAGGGCATGTTTACACAGCATTTTGTAACTAGCAGGAGTGAGCTTCCTGCCCTGGCTCAACAGTGGAGGGGTGGATTTCAGAGCCCCAGTGCAAACCACAACTTCAAAGTGCTACCTATACAACTATTCTTAAAGTGCTA